TAAATAATATAATGTAGCATTATATTATAATTTGTCAATAAAATAAAAAAAATGTTCTAAATAATATAATTATATACTGTTATATATATATATATCAACTTATGTCAATAAAATTAAAAAAAGATAAATTGTGATCTAACAAGAGTTAAAAATGTTGCTTTATTTTTAAATTAAAATAATAAATAAATGAATGAAATACAACAAATACTTAATTTTTCATTTATGTCGATTTGTATGTTTACTTTTGGTCATGTGTTGCCTGAACAATCATTCCTTGGCATGAGCCAACCAGATTTTTATTGGGGCTGAAATTTGATCGTCTGTAGCTTGTGGATGTAATTTTGGTATTATATCTGAAAAAAGAAACATTTTTATCACTCGATATTTTTTATAAATCCAAACAGATATAATTATAAAAATATTATTATAATGTAGTTTAAATTAATCACTATAATATAATTTAAATTAACAATTAAAAAATATTAAAACATTAAACATGTTTAATTAACTCTATAAATAAATGCTAGAGATAACATTGTTATAAACATGTAATTTCTCCAAACTCAAATCAAGAAATTAACATTTTTTAATTCATATATTACACATTTATATATTATAACACTAATATTGATATTATAATATTAACATTATATATAAACATTACTTTTTGAGATCTTAATTTGTTATATACATATTAAGCTCGTTTTTATTAGTGTAAAAACAACAACGTTAAATAATATAAGAAAACATTCTTACCTCAAATTGAAGACTACGGTACAACTTTTAAAATATTATGTCAGTCAAAAAAAGAGATCGTAGACAAAAACAGGAACAGGAATCAAAGTATATGTCTCACTGTTACAATACGCAGAAAGTCCAATAAATGCAGCAAAATAAGAAATGAATATTAGAACTGAAATAACTTCAAATTTATTAATAATTTTATGATTTAATATGAAATAATAAAATAAGAAGTATACGTATCTCTTGCAATATGTAGAAAATCTCTAGTAAATGCTGTAAAATAAGAATTTAAAATTAGAAACTTGGCTTATTTTTTTGCAAGTAGAATTTTATATATTAAATTATGTATCTCAAATAGCTAAGTTTGCAGAGATTGATTTTGAGCAAAATCTGTTATCAATTTTTGAGCAGAAAGTCAACAAATTTTATACAGATTCTATAATGTCTGACAATGTCAGAAAATTACCATCAGAAATATAACAAAGCTGACGTACATTTGCCAACAGATTGGTAATAGAAATGGAGCAGAATTTGCAGCTCCTATTCAGTTTCTGCTGTTAGTCAACTGTCAGATTGTCCGCGTGTGCAGATTCCGCTCGGTTTCTGCCACTAATCTGCTGGCATAGCATGTCAAAGGCTTTGTTGACAAATTTTAAGCTTAACGCAGACACAGATGGATTTGCAATAGGAATCTGATCAAATTTGTTGCTAGTCGATGCCAGCAAACTGCTAGCATTTTGCTATCAATATTTTTGATACTGTATACAGAATGATCCAGGTCACCCGGAGGAGCCACCGATCGCTTGACTGCACCGCACTTGACGGTGCGCTCTTAATGCCCTGTGATTGAACAGTTTCAACATCTCACCATTCACAAACTAATGACATCTCAACATTTTGCTATTAAAATTTTCGACTCAGTTTTTGGTCATGAAGAATACGTAGATGCCGGCTCTTCCGAGTGACCTGGAGTACCCTGTACATAGTTTTTCAGTAAGCAATATAACCTCAAAATTAGTAGTGGTTTATAACAAATGATTGATTTTACGAATAATCAATTTTATAATAAACATAATTAATGTATTTAATATTAAAAAATGTTCTTAAATAAAATGTGAAAGTCGGATTACCTTGCATAAACATTACGTTGCGTAAATCTTCGAAATTCTTGTCATCTGTCATTGTGTAATCTGTCACTGTAATAAAAACAGCGTGGATACTGAAGAGAAAAGATTAGCATCAAAGTGCATATATGGTACGTACAGATGGCGTTTATGTCGATTCCTACATACTGGGTACGTAAAAAGAATATACATTAAATCTACCTGGAATATCAAATGGGATATACTTTAAAAATATTATCACGAATGTTCTCAGTAAAATCGGTATGATCACAGTACATTCAGTATGAGTATGGGATATCAGTATGATATCATGTGCTGTCTGGGATTAGACGTCCATATTTATAAATATTTTTCAAACGTTGTGTAAATCAATCCTAGATCTCATAAAGTTTTCGCTGGATGATTTTATAGATTTCTAGCAACATAACAAAATACAAATAACTACATTTAACAAGAACATATCATATTCCTGAAATTATTTTTACATAAAACTAGATCGGAAGAGCACACGTCTGAACTCCAGTCAC